ATTCTGATAATCTCGCCTCCGTCTGCCTACAGGATCACGTCACGTCATTCTTTCTATTAACTTGTGTGTAGCAAATAAGACATACTACACACTCAGCGTTAAAGCTAAGTAAGCATATCTAATACGTCGAACATCAATAAAAATAGAATCTCAATTCATAATCAAATCATTTGATATCATGCACATAATGTTCAATTCAACTATTCATCATTCATGATATTGTTTGGTTTATATCAATACATGCATGTTATTATATTCAGATATTCATTATTTCGATAGTACTCTTAAATTATTCTTAATTAAAGGCCAATGATAATAACAATGTTCTTAACTATTTTTAATCTAAGGCCAAATCACAAGAATGCTCTTAGCTATTCTTAGTCTAAGGCCAAATCCACAATTTTCATAATCAGACTCTTAAAGAGCAATCAATAACCAGACACTTAAACTATAATTAGGTTAAGGCAATTGACAACCATACGCTTAAACTATGATTAGTTTAAAGCAACTTATATCCTAACGCTTAACTGTAATAAGTTAAGGCAATCAATTTCAAGACGCTTAAACTCTAATTAGTTTAAGGCAGCATATTTCCAGACGCTTAACTCTAATCAGTTAAGGCAACACCTTTCCAGACGCTTAACTGTAATCAGTTAAGGCAACAACAAAATAGCAATTAATCATCGTCCAATCGGGGTATTCCCAAATAAGTGATCCTCTAATTTATGAATCCCTTTATACATTTTATCTCAATCACCAAATATACACACTGTCATAAGTACATTTTAATTTGAAGTCTATCTTAGAGATTTTCTAGATAGCATTAATATCAATTATCTAAATGGGTATATCTTAGAGTCCTTTTAGATATCTTTAACAATACACTTCATTTTCTAACTCATTAATTTATTCCTTATGAATCATGGTTCATTAATTCATAATCATCATTTAACTCAAGAGGGTAAAACAAACATATCTATTTACATTTTCATTCGTACGGTTTATTTATTTATTATCATACTTTACTATTTTGTTAGTATAAGATCGTCCTCCTTATGTAGTCATATTTACTCGGGTCATCCATATGATTGTCATAATCAATACTTATTATCAATGACATTTCATTATGGTTTGTTTATTATAATAATCATTTAATCAGAATATAACCATGGTTTGATCATCATAAATATTTAATAATAATCATCATAACATTCATTAACACATAGCGACCTAGCATCGAGTGTTAACATCCTAGCTTAACGTCATGCATCAATAAAAGCTTTTGAATCTGATCATTTTTATTTCCAGAAATCATATTCACATTGATCATAAATTGATTGGTGTCAAAAATAGGAATTAATGGTTCAAAAATTGGATTTTTCTGAAAAATATCAGATTAGACGGTACCCTTATCGTGCCGACGGTACAGGGTACCGCTAGACAAACTTTTGGTTACCGGTAGCATCCCTATCGTCCCGGAGGTAGGTGGCCAGGGTATCGTTTGGACGGTACCTAGCTACCGTATTGGCGGTAGTGTATCACCATGCACTTACTGTTCATTGTCTTCTTCCTCAAGTCCATTTTTGGAAATATCATTTTTAGTCACCAAATTTCAATTAAACTATATAGAAATGTTCTCCCATGTTCATAGATCATTTGGGTATCATTCATTCATAGTTTTAACAATAATTTCAAGGTTTATGATTCTTGGTTCTTCAAACATATCAAACACAAAATTCAACCAAACGACCATTTATGAACGTAAAAACGATCTATACAAACATTCTAGTCACTAGATATATCTACGAGATTACCTCAAGCTTCAATGGAAGTTTTGGAAATTTTCTGGTGAAACTTTCAGCGACGATTACTTTTAACTCCTACAACTTTCCACCAAATTAACAGCACCTCTACGTTCTGCTCACTTAGAGCAACAAAATAGGAAGAAATATTTTGAAAAATGATGAAGAAATGGGAGAGAAGTGCCTCCATTATATAGTGAGAAGGAAGAGGAAATGGCCAAGGTTTTCATCGCAAAATCCTCCTTCGGTGATTCTACTTAGTGCGCTGGGAGGTGCAGTCTCCACAGTGTCCCTGATTGCAACCAATTTTGGTTCTAGCTCGGATACACTTTTTGATCCAACTTTCCCCGAATTGAATTCCGTTTGCACCGTTGCAATCGAATTTTATTCAATGATATATTTTTCATAATTATTTGTAATACTTTTTCTGACATCATATTTTTTGGGTGTTTGACTTTAACAAAGTCAAAATTAATTTTATTAACCTTTATCATAAAAGGTTCTCACATTTAATTTATATTACTTATTCTCATGATTTATTTAAATAAATCATCTTAATGTTTACATCATAAATAAATTCTTCATTTTATTCTTTAATTTGGGTTTATACTCACGTTCCCAATCAAGGTCGCACAATAAGTCAATATATTGGATTTAGCTTTATGAGATTTATTCAGATTGTGATATTTCATATCAAAACACATTTTATTTTGGCCCAAAGCCCAAAAAAACTTTATTTTAATCAAAACAAATTTGTTTATTTGAATAATAATTCAAAATAACTTTTAAGGTATGTTTTGGGGCGTTACATTTCTTCCCCCTTAAATGAATTTTGTACTCAAAATTCTTCTAAGGTCCACAATCAACATCTTGTTCTATTCACATTTAATCATAACCGTGTCATGCTCAAATAGTTAAATCATGATTACATCGTTATCTTTACATATACGTATTCTCAAACCATTGATGTCACCAAACTCGTTCTATCTTAGAGAGATTAACAATCTTTTGATTAAGCAAGACATTCAATAATCCTTGAGTATTAACAACTAAAGTTCCTTCGTAGTGTATAACATTGTATACTTGATATATTTGCACATAACTACGTTCATTCATGAGTCTCGTTTGTACGTCATTGTTCAATAGAATTCTTTTCTTGATTGAAAAGTTCTTCAATATCCTTTATAATAAGATTCACGATAGACATAGTTGGGAATTTGGAAATTGTTTCAATTTATACGTCGTAACGTTACAACTTTCTTCGAATTCAATTTTGTTTGCACCGTTGCGATCAGATAGTCAAATTCTATTCAACGATGTAATTTTCATTATTATTTGTAATACTTTTTCCGCCATTATATTTTTGGATATTTGACTTTGAGAGAGTCAAAATAGATTTTATTGACTTTTATCATAAAAGGTTCTCACATTTAATTTATATTATTTATTCTCATAATTTATTTCAATAAATCATCTTAACGTTTACATCATAAACAAATTCTTCATTTTATTTTTTAATTTGGGCTTATACTCATGTTCCAAATCAAGGTCACACAATAAGTCAACATACTGAATTTATCTCTATGAGATTTATTCAAATTATGATATTGGATTCAAAACACATTTTTTCGGTCCAAAGTCCAACAAAAATTTATTATAATCAAAATAAAATTATTTATTTGAATAATAATTTAATATAACTTTTAGGCTATGTTTTGGGGTGTTACAGGTCTTCAGTCCAAAGTATTTGTAATTTTGGGTTTCGGCCCAGTCTATACCTGATTATCATCCGGTCCAGACCGATAGCCTGAAAAAACCTTAGCCTCCGTAATTTCTAATTTTCTATCCTATGTTCATAACCACTCAAGTACTCAACCGTATTCGTATTCATATCTATTCACGCTGTTTTTATGACTTGAATCGCTGTCTCAGCTCCCTTTCCCTCATCGTGATCGCTTGTAATTGCCATCTCCCTCTCTCTCATGGTTACTGGAGTAATCATCGTCTCCCTCCACTGATCCATTCATCTTGTCGATTCACCTTCCGCCCATTTCCCTCTACGTCATTAGTCATCTATCTTCTCCCAAGTCCTAATCGGCAATCACATCTTTATCCTTTAATCCTTCACCATTATGTTCATTTCGACTACGGATTACGATTTGGGATTCACAGTGGCGTATCAAACAAGTAATTTTGAATTTAACTTTTAAAAAAACCACCTAACTTTTTTGAGGGTTTCTTCTTCCTTTTAAGGGATTATATATTGGTTATATTGTTTATATATCTGCACTGCATATATATTTGTGAATTACAGAGGGGAGCTGTCACCACCATGCATCCATACATGCACACAAAATTTAAGAAATAAGAGTAGTAGATAATAATGATACAAATATTCTTTTACAAAAACTATCATCTTTTGAGCTTAGAGGGACGCTTTTGACGATTGGATTAATGAGACCACACCGGACTCATCTTTTGAGCTTAGAGGGACGCTTTACAAGCGTGGATACTATTTGGCCGATGGAATATATCCTGATTATTCTACGATTGTCAAGTCCCTCTCCGAATCAATGAGTCTTAAATGCCAGACCTACAAAAAAGCTCATGAGACGACGAGAAAAGATATTGAACGAGGCTTCAGGGTCTTGAAGGCTAAGTGACACATTCTTGATCGCTCGTCCAAATGTTTTTCTCAAATAAAAATGAGGAATATCATGTATATATGCATGTATTATTCTTCATAATATGATGGTAGAATACAACGGGTTTGCGATTTGTCAATACAACCCAGACGAGGAGGTGCCCCTATGTACGAAGAAATCGACGAAGAAAAGAAACCGCCAAGAAATTTATAACCGAGAAATTCACAATACAATAACGGCAGATTTGATTGATCATATCTTCAATCGATCGAATAATTAGTAATTTGTTTGTAATGTTTTGTTATGAATGTAATATTTTTTAAATGAAAGTAATTATTTTTAATGAATGTAATTTTTTATGGATGTAATATTTTTTTATGAATTATTCTCCTTTTGATTATTTTAAATAATTAAATAATTATATTTTATTAATTTAATTTTAAAAGATATATATTTAAAATATTAAAAATGAAGATTTGAAGCTCTAATATGAAGTTTCTGGACTTCAAACTCATTTCCACTATGCGGTAATTTAAAACAAACTTGATAGAACGTTCAAGGCTTCAAGAGTAGTTGGAGTGCCCCAATTCCAAAGTGACCCCAATTTCCGCTACATATTTTGAATTCTCAAAATTTTGAATTTCCGACACCGCCAAAAATAGCCTTCTTCCCCACCGAACCAATCGTCAGACAAAGAGTCACTACCACACAGACACACAACCAAAGCCAACAAATTATCCAAAATTCAAACTTGAATTCCCCCCAAAAGGGAATCGATCAAAATCCCGACCTTCATCTATCTCTCTCCCCCGAGAAGAAGAATGGCGTCAATCAAGCCATATTCACGCTATGCCACCGCCAACTCCTCATTCGAATCCAGATCGTCGACACGATCCGACCCGTCTTCCTCCGCGGAGACCGGCCCGAAGTCGCAGATCCCTCAACGCGCCACCTCGCGCGCCGTCGTCCCGGCCAAGACCACCACGAACAAGGGCAACGGAAATTTCAGTTCACTAGTGAAGAGGTTAGTGGATCAGAGATCGACCTCTTCGGCAGCGCCGAAGAAGAAGGGGGAGTTCAAGCTGGCCATACCCGCAGATTTCATAGCGGAGGACTTGAAGAAAACGGCAAGGAAAGGGGCGGGGCTGGGATCTCTGCACAAGAAGCTGTTCAAGGGATCGGGAAAGAGAGCGGAAGGGGGTGAGCAGAAGGCGCTTACTGAGTTCAAACCCAACACTCGGACATTGGCAATGGTGCTGCGGAGTGAAAGGGAGCTGTTGAGCATGAACCAGGAGCAGGAAAACCAGATTGCCCAACTCAAGCTTTTGCTAGAAGAGAAAAACAAAGAAGTATAGCCCATCTTCTTTCCTTTTCTTTTTTCTCTTTCTTTCTGTTACTGAGTATGGAATTTGTGCTTGTACTGGTGTCAATTTATAAGCAAAAAAATCATTTTAACATTAGGATTTAGCTGCAAGTGGATACATTGATACTTGAAGTGCATTTTTCATGGTGTGCTTGATTTCTGCTACTGTAGAACTGTCAATAGTTGAGTGTGTTAAGAATCTTTTTGGTAAGGGATATTTTGCTAAAATGATGAATCTGGTGATTTTTTTTTTTGAAATGCAAAGCGCTAGATAACGTCCATTTTCAGAATCTGCAATGCAGAACAGCAGATTAAGCCAATTAGGGCAGCCAAACTCTGCAGAATGAGATTGATAGATTGAGATAGATGTTATACATACCTTTCATTACAAGGTCCATGTTGTAAAGTAAACATGAACACCATGGAACCTAAACATCTGAATATCTTTTTTAGGTTTTTCTTTTTTGGTTTTTGATCCATTTGGTTAGACCACTAAAGGCATTTCAAAATTCTATCCTTACAAGAAATTGAGAAAATGCAAAAACTGCAGGTTGAGAAGTTGAAGGATTTGTGCCTGAAACAAAGGGAGGAGCTAAAGTCATTGAAGAGTAGTGTTCTTTTCCCAGATCCTATGAATTCAAAACTGCAGGAACTCATGGAGAATCAAGCCACAGAGCTGAAGCAGGCGAGGCAACTTATACCCAATCTACAAAGGCAGGTCACTTCTCTTACTGACCAGCTCCAGTACCTTGCTGAAGATCTTGCAGAGGTATAGTTTTTGTTGTTGTTTTAGTAAACATTTTCATTCATTAGTTTCCACTCTTTGTTGAGGATAGTAATTAGACTTCATCAGTTGAAACCGATCTACGAGCTTAAGCTTTTAGGTTATATGGTTCCATAACTTCAACATGGTGTCAGAGTAGGCAGAGTTCTTCAGCTCCAAAGTAACTGCTACCATTTAGAGCCTGCTTGGTTCATATATAAATGGGTATATGGTATTGGTTTTGGAATTTCAAACGCAAACCTCGTGTTGGGTTACAAAAAATCACCCCCAAACTCATTCTCTAAACACCATCCTCTATCTGAAATCAAACGTTCATTGCTTCTTTGGCTATCATGTAACAAACTAGGGGACAGCAGATGACTAAGATGGTAAGAAGTTGGTGGGGGCTTCAGCCTAAAGCAACATTCCACTATCTTCAGAGCTGAACCAAACCCTATCCCCCCAAATGCGCACGACCCTTGAATTTAGTTTATCATATCTAGATTTATACATTCTCAACCCCATTATGACCTCATATTTGAACTTAAACAAAACAGAGCCTAAAATTAAAGGTGCACACGTTTGACTAGTTTTTGGATTAGATGAGAGTTTCTCTCTAAAGATCATTATGTCCATTTGAACAGGTCAAGGCAGATAAATATACAGTGAGAGGGGTCTACGATAGTTGCCTTAGTTCTCCGCGGACACCTGAATGTGATCATTTAGAAGCAAAACATTATGAGGTAAAAGGACATCTACACTTCGCGTTCAAGCTCTACATTTTTTGCCTTTTAAAATTTCTTTTTCTGATATGATCATATCAGGATTTTAGCTCTGAAGATAATGCAACTCCAGCAAGCCCTGATGATATGTTTCTCAATGATCTAAACCCATGTTTGACGCCTTATTACCCCAAGTCAAAGTCCAAGGTAAAATTGAAAAGTAGATATTGTAATGTTGAAACAGATAAAAGCATTTTATGCAATTTCAAGGGCAACTTTTTTTGGATTAATTTTTTTTACAATGAAAATAATCAAACCTTTTTTGCTTTATGCTAGTAATTTATTTAAAACATAAATTCACATTTATCAATCTAAAAGAACCAAAGGTTTTTGCGCCATTTGCTCTGAACTCCTCATAAATTGTATATTTTCACCCCAAACTTTAAAAATGCACCCTTAGTTCCTATAATTTTGATAAAGTGTGTGCTTTACCCATAAACTTTTTAAAAAGTGCGTGTTTTATGCCAAACTTTCAAAAGTGCACCATTAGTTCCTATACTTTTTATAAAGTACGGAGTACGTGTTTTCCTTTTGAACTTTCAAACATGTACCAATAGTCCTGTATTCTTTTAAAATGATGCTTGGTCGCAACCTTAAGAATTTCTCTTGGGTTTAACATCTTTAACAAAAAAAGAACAAAATAATAGGACTAATCTTGCACTCTTGAAAGTTCAAGGGGGAAAGCACACTTTATGAGAAGTAAAGTGACCAATGGTGCACTTTTGAAAGTTTATGGGGGGAAACATGCACTTTATAAAGAGTTTGAGGGTGAAACACACACTTTATGAAAAGTATAGGGACTGCTAGTGCTTTTTTGAAAGTTCGAGGGGAAAACATGCACTTTATGAATAGTTTAGGGGTAAATGATGCAAAAAAAATCGTTTTTTAAAAATATAAAACACTATCCCGAAAGAGTTCACAAAAACCCTCATTGGAAACTGTCAAGAAACCAATTTAACCAAAAGCTCAAGCTTGTGGTTGTGGCCTAGGAATGATTATTTATTCTCTAACACGCCCCCTCACGTGCAAGCGTAGTCTTTTTCGAGCCTTGCACGTGAAATTTTATTTTTTTTAAACTGGGTGATGCTGAGTTTCGAACCCGTGACTTCTTAGTCAACAAGGCTTAGATACTATGTCAAGAAACCAATTCAACCAACAACTCAAGTTTGTGGTTGTGGTCTAAGAGAAACACTGATTTAAATAAGCACACTTATTAGAAACATTTGCATTGATTCTATTAGATCATTCGAGGAGTATATCAGGTTGACTTGTGATTAATAATGTCGCAGGAATTTGAGCCCATTGAGGACCGGGGTTTTCACCATAGCAATAATGCTGAAGGGTACCATGACATTAGCTTCAGTTCTTTTGGAAGGAAAGTGTCAATTAGCTCAGATTGCCGCCACTGTTCCAAGCCAGCAGTTGGAGTTGCTAGCAGATCAAATCAAAGTAATAGCGCATATATTAAGAAGCTGCGCAACCATTTCTCCTGATTGCTTTTTTTTTGCCTTTGTATTGTGTCACATGCACTCTGTCCAAAGTACTGCTTTCGTCCGTAAGGATAATAATTTGTGTGAAATTAGATACCCCATACGAGACAAAAAATCAGTTACTATTTTTGTGGGTTTTGTTGTATAAATTGGACAAGGATCACAAGTACAAGAGTTATAAACTTCTATCTGTCCCAGAGTATTTATCTATTTTTGATTTTTTCCAATTCAAATTGGTAAACTCTAATCCCAAATTTAAATAAATAGCATTAGATATGGTATAAAAATAGTTTTATTAGATTTATTATATAAAATATTTTCTGAATATTATTTTATCTAATTAATATACAATATATTTTATTTAACTATAAGTTAAAGGTTGATTAAAAAAAGTCAAAATTGGATAAACACTCTGGGACAGAAGTAGTACATAAACTTGTCATTTGTGTATTTTAAATTTTCATTTTTTAATTTTTTAAAAGAATGAATTTCATAATTGATCTTTTATAATATGTGGTATTCATATTTGGTCTTATCTTATCAAATATTATTGGTTCTTTTTTATGGGCATTTTTCCATAAATAATTCTTTTTTGACCTTATGTTGATATTAATTCAAGGGTTTGAAGTGTAATTTGACGCAATCCTAATGTTCCGTGACGTATTCTGATGCGGGTTAGACGAACAACACAATAATAATGACTATAATTGTAGATTATGATTCTGACAAAAGATCATATTTGTAGACTATGGTTATAGTAAAAAGTGATTCGAAATCACAAACAACGCATCAGAAGCGGCCTTTGGATTCTGTATGACAAAAAAGATATATGATCATTGTGAAATTATACCTTTAGTTCTCAAATTAATACGAACATGATAGATTATCAAAAAAGTATTATTCGTGAAAAGGTATCCAAAAAGAAAGGACCATCGGGGTAATTTTTAAAAATAGAGGACTAAATAGGGAAATCTTTGTTATAAAAGACTAATTATGGCATTGTATTCTTTTTAAAAATTATTTTTGATGTCCATAAATAGTAAGATTGTATATTTTGTGATCTTTGTGTTTGTGATTCTAGTATTTATCTTTAAAAAAATCTTACTCCATATTTTTATTCAAAGCATTAGGATATATTTTATACTCTTTTTAGACACTAGAATTGCATTTTGTATTTTATCGTGTAAATATTCTTTGTAAATACTGTATTATTTCGTAGTTTAAACGTAGATTTTTCCTTAATTTTTTTCTTTAATTTTGTTTTTCTTCCCAATATTTCAAAAACAATCATGTTTGTGATTTTTTCAATCATTATTTTTTGAGTAAATTTTCAAAATAATACTTAGTAATTATGTGTTTTTCTCAAATTGATCTCTAAAATGAATTGATTATTGAGATTGATGATGTAAATTAACCACCCGGCAAACTACTCCAGAACAAGTCTATGGTGGTTTGCTGAGTTGAGATGCTTAAGGCATACAAAAACTAGAGAATAACCGGTTGGACTTTAAGTGGGAACACTTGTAGTCTAATGGTTATTGTGGGTAGCGTACAATGAGGGTTTACACAATATGCTTGTAGAGAGGAAATTTTGATCCCCTTTTCGAAGGACTACAAGTCCTATTCATAGTGTAGCTATGGGACAGGGCGACAGGCACAATGCCCAGCCACGTGTTAGCCACATGATTCGATGCTTCTTTGTCTCATAGTCTTTGTCTTCTTTTTCCTGTCATCCTCTGTGACTGTCCTCCTTGACCTGTAGTGCTTGGGTGGGCATGTCTGGGAAAGTCAGCTGGTATAGAAGAATCCAGCCTGACCCAATTGCTTCCAAGTCGCTACTGTGTCCAATCGCGCTAGGCTGTAATCACGCACGTCAGTACAAACCCCCAAAGACTCACCCGAGTACTTTTGGGAAGGATGCCTTGATCACTCAAGGTTTTCTCTAGTGAATTCAAACCACGTGACCGATAAGGTCATGGATGCTTGTTCACACAAGTGGTTTGCACCCCAACTTGTCATGTACTCCGTCCCAATTACCCTTCTACAGTTCGAGCCCACCTGATTGGTTCTTGTCAAACCTGGCTCGGGTCGGGGCCTAGGTAGAATACACCCACCAGTAAGTCCTTCACTTCCCGATCTTGTAGGAACTATCAAGGGCGGGAAGTAATTTTTCGAATTCGAGGTTCCTTTCGCCAAATTTTTGAAGAAGAGATGCCTTGCTGCCCAAAATTTCGAATTTCAAAATTTGGAGCTTGGCGCCCAAACACAGCTGTCCTGTCTGTTGGTCTAACCCATGCAGCAGTTAGATTTTCGCCAAACAATCATTCCACCCCGCCCCGTGTCTTGCCGCGGTTCGCTTGACCTAGGCAAAACCCCATATATAAAGGCTCCTCACTTCTAATTCTTCTCACTTTTCACACTTTGCTCTCAAAGAACTGACTCGTCAAACTCTTTGTCTTGAGTCCTCCGAGTTTCCTCCTAGCGGACAAACACTTTGCTCTCAAAGAACTGACTGGTAAAACTCTTTGTCTTGAGTCCTCCGAGTTCGTCTATTTTCACATTTTTGTTCCCGGTCATGTCTCGTAGTGATAGTCACAATCCTTGATTCATTCCTACGGGTCAAACAAGTGTGTCTCCTTATCTTCATTAACGCTTTCCTCGTCTTCTATCTAGTCAACCCATGCCCGAGAGTTGTGGCCATTCTTGACCATGAGTCAAACCAAGCACCGAGTCCTTTCAACCCGGAAATCGAAACCCATGAAGAATGGAAACATGGGTTGCGGGAAGCTAGTCGGGTTATTTCCCCCTTCCCATCGATTACGTTAGGGAGATCCGCCCGACCACGTAGAGAGTCGCCCTTAACAAGACCCGACAACTCCTCCATGAGTGTTATATTCTCCAGAATGACCCATAGTGCGTGGTCCAACATCGTGGCACCCCAACGTGGAATCCGTGTGGGCTTCCATATCAAGTTGCTGGAAGGGGGAATTTTTTTTCCCCTCCGTTCTCTCCTAATCAAGGTCTGGTATGCCTTTTCAATATTACCCAATCAAATAACTCCGAACGCCCATCACTTGCTGAACTATTTCGTCAACATATTTCAATCGCTCGAAATTCACACCATCGTTTGTCTTTTCGTTTATATGTTTGAATTCCTTCTTTGAAAAACCGGGTGTGTTCAAATCGCATCAAGGTATGGCTTTCATTTCAATCTCCCCCCGACAATAGGGGTGGAACTCAGCTTTCGCTTTTGTCGAGTTTCCGGATTATGATTTCCCCCTCGTCGGTCTATAGTGGAGTGATCACTAACTCAATCATGAGCGTGCTGTGCCGCTTGATGCTCCCGACCTAGAGGAGGACTTGGAGAAACTTCTTGAGGGGGATCCAGACACTGAGAGGAAGTTTCATTTTGGTAGCTGGGTTCGTCGTATAAACCGGGCTGTGGAGGGTACCTCTAGGGCCCATAATGCAAAAGGGCGCAGGGCATCTCCCCCAGGAAATGATGCTAAGATTGGGTGCTCAACTCACCAAGGTTTGTCCTATGTTATGTAATCTTTCCTTTCCTCTTTAACCAATAATTCTTAGCTTTTTAATCTGACCGGCTAGCATTTTGTAGATATAGAGTTTGATGCCTACGAGATATTGACCAAGGCCACGATTAGAACCAGGCCGGGTAGCTCCTAGCCTACTCCCTTGCTTACCCGGAAGGCCCCCACCCATGCCCAGGCTGCTCCTCACCCGGAAACCGTTTGAAGTCCTCGACAATGAAGACACGAGGCCAACCTCCCGGGAGAGTAAAAATAGCTTATCCCCCAGAAATAGCGGGAGCGGGGGACAAAGAGGGCGGCGGTCGGTCATCCAATTTCCTCCCAAGGTTAATGGCTGACCTTCAACTAGTCTCCCTTTCCACACAAGACTTGTGGCTTCAGATCGGATTGAAGCTAAAGGAAGCGAGTGACCCTTTATTCAGCCCAAGAGCTTATGGCCTGTCCCCTGCTCCCGAAGATGAGCCGACCCTTCCTTCCTTAGTATTTAATCTTTATTTACTTTAGCCTGGATATGCCTGGTGGTAATGATGTATTTTGCGATATTTAACTCTAAACTTGATAGCAAATTATATTGTACAACCAGCTGTACGGGAAGAACCGTACAACCGATGGAAATTAGCAATCAAGTGGAGCGCGATCGAGTCAAATCCTAGGTGCGTTTGATCAGAAAAGGAAGTACATAACAGGGGGAGCAGATCTGCAAAGGTGATGGTGAAGATGATGATGGAGATAGTGATGGTGATGTGATAATGGGGATAGTGATTGTACTGCAGATCAAAGTGTTCATGGGGAAGTGGCTGATATAGAAATTTTTAGTCCGAAATAATTCAGTGTTTAGGTGAGGGAGAAGAAGAAGCGTTGGAGCTTGATTTTAAACTAAGTGGAATGAATAAACGACACTTTAGTTGAGAATGAACATTACTTCATTTAACAATGAGTACCACTTTGTTTTAGAATGAACACTATGTTATTTGTAGATTATTATTATAATTGTATGAAATAATTGTGTGAAAATAGATACTACTTTATTTTAAAATGAGTACGACCACCCGGATGTACCTATTTTCTAGGAACACAGGCCGTACCACATACCTTCTCAAACTTGATGTCCTATCCTTTTACACGCCTTTATGTAATATTACCTCCGTCCCAGAGTATTTGTCCACTTTCATTTTTACACAGTACAAGAAAATATGCATTTTGCCGCACTTATTTTGCAACACATAACTATGTGTCTCAAAAATTTAATGCGTATTACATTTTTTCACATTTATATGTGTTGCCATGAAAAATCTCACACGGGCCCAATACATAGCCCAAACTCATACATACACAACCAAAAATCTATTATTCCATTTTTGATCCGTATATGAGATTTACAATGAGACTTCTATCACGCATCAAATTCTTCATCTCCTTCCATTATGTGTTTTGTTTTGCAACTTCACTGAGGTGCATATGAGATTGCTCATGTTCTAATGCTTTCTTCTTTTACTGCATATTAGATTGTAATGCTGCTGGATTTCATTTCAGCTCAATATGTTGTGGATGGGATCGATTGTACGCGTGGGAGACTTGATCTTAGATGGAGATATAGTTCTGATGATTGATTTTTTGTTAGTTAATTTTGTTAGTTATTTTGCAACACATAACTATGTGTCTCAAAAATTTAATGTGTATTACATTTTTTCACATTTATATGTGTTGCCATGAAAAATCTCACACGGGCC